GACAGCTTTCTTCTGCAAAACCAATATTCTGTTGATGTTGCGTTGAGTTGTAGTAAGCCAAACCAGACTGCAGTAACTTATATGTGATTGAAACAGTGCTTGATATATGCTGACTTTTATTTGTGTAGGGAGAATTTCTCGACAACGCGACAGAGCTCCCGCTGTAAAAGAAAGTTTCTTGCATAAATGACTTACGTGAGAGTCCCAACTTAGATGAGATGAAAATGTTACACCGAGAATTTTGTGTTCTTCTACAATATCTATTTTTTGATCTGCACAAATAATATCTTGTTTAACGTTCAGAAATTTATTTCTAGCTCTAAATATTATAACCTTCGTTTTCTTAGGGTTAATTTTAAGTTTATTTGATAGTGACCATGATGTAATATTGCAAAAGAAACGATTACAACTTTCTATCAACCTATCTGTATCTGCGCCGGAAAACAAGACCGTGGCATCATCAGCATATATTATAAATTTTACCAACTTGTTGATATTAACAATATCATTTATAAAAACATTGAAAAGAAGGGGCCCTAATACACTTCCCTGCGGGACACCTCTACTGACAGGCAATGAAGATGAGTGATGGTTACCTAAACACACACATTGTGATCGTTCTGCTAAATATGATTTTATTAAAGCCAGGGGAGTGCCTCGAACACCATAGATTTCTAACTTAAGAAGTAACGTGCTATGGTCAATGGAATCGAAAGCCTTGGTGAAATCAATGAACAAACCTAATGTAAATAGCCTGTTTTCGATGTTCTCTAAAATAATTTCTTTTAGCCTTAACAAAGCTAACTCCGTAGACCTTCCTTTACGGAAACCAAACTGAGCGTCGCTTATAATGTCACTTCTAGTGAAAAAGTTGGATAATCTGGAATGTAGCATTTTTTCGAAACCCTTAGCAAACACCGGAATAATCGATATTGGGCGATAATTTCCCAGCATGTTTTTGTCGCCACCTTTAAACAGAACAGACACACGAGAGCGCTTCATTTCACGGGGAAATTCCCCGGACTCTACTGCTAAATTAAATATGTACACAAGTACAGGGGCTAAGTGCTCTAAAACAAATTTTATGGGACCGATCTGAAGATTGTCAATATCTAATGCACTGCTATTTTTAAGACTCATAAATGTTCTGAATACTTCTGGTTCGTCTGCCGGGTTGAGAAATATGCTTTCAGCATTTCTAATAATTGAGCTAGTCATTTGCAGGGTATTCTTAACTGGCGGTATACCAGAAGTGAAATATTTATTGAAAGAATCGGCAAGTAGTGCACCAGTTAGTACACGATTATTTAACGTAATTTCACGTGGCATGAAGTCTGCCTTGTGGCGTCCTAAAACACTGTTTATTGCTTTCCAAGCTGCATCGGGGTACCTTGTACAGATACCAGAAAACAATTTTTCATAATACGCTATCTTCGCCTTTCGAAGAGCGCTGTTTAGTTTATTTCTGAAAGCTTTATACTGCTGTAGTAATTCTTCCTCTCGCGATTTCAAGAATGCATGGAAAAGCTTATTTTTTCGGTTTATCAAACGCCTAATAGCAAATGTGACCCAAGGTTTTCTTATTTTCTTTGACGGTTTAAACGTTTTAAAAGGAAAATGAGTGAGGTAGATATTTGTAAAAGATTCTATAAATTTTAAGTACGCTTCATGAACATCTCTAATCATATAAACGAAAGACCAGTCATGCATGCTAACGGCACGCTTGAAAGCCTGCAGTGACCCATCAGTGATATTTTGTACTTGTACAGTCTGATGTTGACGCCTCTTTTCTGTTTTTGAGGAACTGTATTGCATGAACACTGGACAGTGGTCACTTATGTCTGATGAAATAGTACCGGCGTTAGAAACAAGTGTGTCAGCATTCGTAATCATCATGTCTAACAGTGATGAACTGGTTATTGTGATACGAGTTGGCGTTGATATTAGATTTGTAAATCCAGATGAGTGAAGGCACGATATGAACTCGCACGTGCTTTGAGTGTCTTCCAGAAGGTTTATATTAAAATCACCACCGCACACAAACCGATATTTGTTTGAGTTGATATATTCTAAGAAAGACTCAAAAAAATTAAGAAAATTCACGATGTTCCCATTTGGGGGACGGTAAATAGCAGCAACAATTTCTGAGTCAGTTTTAAGTGTTAAAAATTCAAAGTCATCCGTAATCACAGAAAAATCGGAAACAAGTTCATGGGTCCGATAAGCGTCAACAAAGATGCAAACGCCCCCTCCTCGGCGATTCGGACGATTAATAAAAAATCGCGAGTAACCGTCCAGACGAAGCATATCACAGCCATCGTAGTACCATGTCTCTGTCATCATGATTATGTCAAACTTAAACGAGAACTGGTTGATAAAGCAAGTAATGTCATCTTTTTTCCCAACTGCGGAACGTGCATTCAGATGTAAAGTGGTTTTCTGCAATCGACAATGTAGCGAGATATTTTGTGGTAGAGCAAGGTTATGGTAGTTCATTTCAATCCCTTTTTTTTTTTTTTTTTTTTTTTCTGTACAGGACGTGATACTTCTACTAGTTTATTTTTTCAAGATCAGCTTCGCGAGATATCTGTATGGCATCTGAATCATCAGACTTCCGCGCAAAAATTTTACCACTGAAACACCAAACAGACTTCCAGTGCTTTTCATGCCTGCGCTTTACTGCCATGCCTAGAAGACGCTTCAGAGCAGGACAGAGATGCTCATTTATGTAGATCTGCGCAGAGTCTGACACTCCGATGTCATTGTTGCGGATGCGCATCTTCTTTCCTTTTTTTAGTACAAGGTCTCGTTTCGCCCGGGACTTAAACTGAACTATAATATTACTGCGGTCCGGATTTCGGGTAGGCACCCGATGACATGTTTCTATGTCAGACCCCTGAACAGGCTCACCAATAGCCTCCCCGATTTTTGAGAGGACACTCAGAACATCCTCATTTTCTTCTTTTCGAACACCCTGAATTTCGATGTTTGAGTTTCTGGAATACTGCTCTAGGTGAACCAGCCGTCTCTCTAGGTCCCCTGTATGGGTCTCAAGAGTCTGGCATTTCACCTGCAGTTCCTTGTTTCTCGTGGTTAATTCAGCATTTTTTGCTGCTGCAGCAGCCAGCTGGATTTTCAAATCCTCTATAGTTTTATAAGCAAACTCAAGGCTCTGAGCAACGTTGCGTTGTTCAGTTCGAAATTCACGCATTTCATTTCTGAGTTCCCTCTCGAACGATTCCCGCGACATCTTCATTTCCTGTTTAAACTCATCTCTTAGTTTCAAGAGATCGTTCTTGACATCTTCCTTAATCTTTGCAATTTCTTTCGACATGACAAAAAGAAACTACGGGTAACAAAAATAGCACACAACACACGGCAAAATATAACAGAAATGACGCAGCTTGGCAGCAGTGACAATGTATCTTTGAAAAATATAAACGGAACAGTAAAAGTCTTTGCACCAACCTGCGGCAAGAATGCAGAAAAATGCCTTAGACGCTGTGAACGTAGTTCGCCACTGCTGCCAAATGAAGGCCTCGATGCTTGAGACGGTGCTTTTATGGCAGTCGCACTCGCGCAGAAACACTGACGCGGCCGCTGTCAACGCCCCCTTGTGCTGCACGGAGTCGGTGAAAATCGGCCGACACGTGTCCAACTGTCCAGGAAGATCGGGTGCGCTGTGCAGGCTGCGCAGAAGTGATCTGCGGCAAGAATGCAGAAAAATGCCTTAGACGCTGTGAACGTAGTTCGCCACTGCTGCCAAATGAAGGCCTCGATGCTTGAGACGGTGCTTTTATGGCAGTCGCACTCGCGCAGAAACACTGACGCGGCCGCTGTCAACGCCCCCTTGTGCTGCACGGAGTCGGTGAAAATCGGCCGACACGTGTCCAACTGTCCAGGAAGATCGGGTGCGCTGTGCAGGCTGCGCAGAAGTGATCTGCGGCAAGAATGCAGAAAAATGCCTTAGACGCTGTGAACGTAGTTCGCCACTGCTGCCAAAATATCTTCCTGGGACACACATAAATGGACGGGATGGTGCAGCTGGCTGCTGGGAAAGCGCGTGTCAAAGCTTGTGCTTTGGACAGAAGCACCAAAACACTTCTAGCCTTTTTTTTGTCTTTACTGCCTTTAATCTACCACTGCGTTAGCCTCATGCCCTCAGAGCTTGTAGACCGCTATCGCGCCACCGTGACCGCGGTTTTGTGCACGGCGGTTGCAGCAAACTGTAGTTCCGTTTTCAATCTGTGTGCGTTGGCTCCACACGTGCCTTCAAAACTAAGTCGTTTTATGCTATCTATGATCACATCTGCCACGGTCTTGTCCACAGAGTTTGCAGAAAGAAGCGTTGCTTTGACTGGTCAAGCGTCAGACACGCGCACACTATCCGAGTACTGCGAGTACGTTGTCTCCATACATGACGTGTCAAAAACGATTGCGGTTTCACCCACAGCGGTTGTGGCAACAACCATATGCATTGCAGAAGACAATGCATGCACTGGTCGCACGTGTACTTCTGAAGCTTCGAGCATGCTGCTCTTAGTCGGCCTTCCTTCGACGGTTTCGGTACTGAAGTTCACGAAACACATCACACGTCATATTTTGGGAAAGGGTTCGGAACATTCAAATTTTGGCCTAATGGACAAACTAGAATATGGCTGAGAAATTTCACGAATTCATATCTCCTGCGGTTTCACATCACTGAAACTACTGTATGTTTATATGAATGCCTTTTAAATTCATTTATAATAAAATGCTGTAGGTTCCCAAAACACCTGGAGTGGACTGGCCTGCATTTTTGTCAATGCGGCCAGATCCCGCACAAAAATTTCGGTTTTGGGGGGATTTTTATGACAACCATACAAACGGAAGGAACGTGAAACGGTCAAAATCCAGGTATGCAACACCCAAGCATTCACATTAAGAAGAAAAAGAACCAGAAAGATCACTTTTCGCAACCTCATTCAAGCACACATCAAATCAAGGTTTTTTGTACTCACTCAACTTGATAGCCACTGATGGTGTCAAATACATTGTTGACACGTCCTCGATACCATTTCTTCAATGAACGATTTTGTACCAAAACAATCTAGAAAGAAAGTAATCACAGAAGAGTGGAACATTTTAAACGAATGAACTATATTGAATGACAGAATTTTTGGAACATGGGTTTTAAGAAAAAATAAGAGGGGGGGGAAATAGGTAAGAAAGGAAGAGAAAGTTTTCTAAGAATACAGTGGTCAGCTACATGGTTGCCCATTAACGTATGCACAACACATTATAAAGGTGACAAATACGAGCATTCACACCAGGAGTGAGACAAGTCGACAAGCTTTTAGAGCGATTTCTCGGGCAAAAAAAGTCTCAGTTTGAATCAGAACATGTTGAATATGAGGCAGATTAAAGGTGGGAAAAAAGGACAAGTTTAGAACAGAAAATTTAAGATTTGGAGCTACACTACAAAATAAAGCAGATCAATAAAGCATGCGATCATGAATATCATTACAGCCCTACCTTTTAGCATTTAGCATTATCCCTGCCGTTGTAGACAAGACATGAAAGGCATGGAAGATGGTTGCATTCTGCTTTTTTGTTTCACCAGATACAGTGATATTCATGCAACCCGCCTCTTTCTATTTTCCTGTGCTGCCCTCTGGCATTTTGGCAGGGGCCGAGAGAACCAGCATTGCTAGAACGAAGCCCTCCGAGACAGGAATTTGTTTCGCAACTTTTCTGCTGTGGAAGGGCACATGCACCATGGCCTCGTGGAAAAGGCAAATTGTGGCTTAAACAGTTTGGGCTACTGGCAAGCCGGTACAGCATTCAGGGCCCAATCATGACACCATATGTTGAGGTTACCGAAAAACTCTTAATTGTACACAGAAGGTGCCAAATGGTTACTTCAATAAAAATTGCTGATTCCACTTGCTTTATACACCAAAACACAGCGAGCTCAGTGCTCGCTGCCATATTGAAAAGCGAGTGGCGCCATCTGTTGCAAGCGCAGCGAAGCAACACCCTCAACTGCCACGCCAGCAGATGCTCTGCAAATCAAACGCGAAACTTCACAACCAGAGTCTAGCTTCAAGCATGTTTCCCGCTGTTCTTGTGCTGGAATTTTATGCTGATTTCGTGTGAAACGTCGAGGACACATTCCTTGACAGTCTGGAATGTCTGCAGCACGTGCATTGCAGACTACAGAAGCAACTTCATCAGGTACGTGCTATCGCGATTGGAAGAAATGCGAACAGTGAAAAAGTGTGGCTTTCGACTCAGTCGAACTGCAGTGTGCCGTGGCTGTGACAAGGCAGAATTTGTGCTGTAAGCCGGCGTCAATGTAGCGCTAGAATCTGGTTCCAACTTACGCTCATGCACCGCATGTGTATCAATTGCCTGTCCTGCCAGGCATTCGGAAAGCACATGTGGTGCAAAAGTGCCAGCCAGAACAGGATCTTAAAATGCTACGGCGACGCCAGCCGAAAGCACATGTGGATTCGCCTAGCGACTAGTCAAAGCATGTTGCAGTTCAACTGAGTCGAAAGCCATGCATCCTGCGTCGTTAACATCTCTATTCATTGCGATAAAAGGCCGTTACAGTTGTACTAAGCATGCGCTGTGCGTGTGTCCACGCGCGAGTCTTAATACGTATATGCTATTATTGACATGTGGCCTGCGAAAGAGTACGGCAATAGTTTTGTGCCGCATACTAGAGGCACACTGCACGCAAATCGCCGCTGTAAAGTGGAACAGCTGGAGTCGCACTTGAATAAACGCAATAATTATACTTACTCGTACACTTCACTGGGCTCGTAGTTTTTCCTGCCGATTGCGATTATAGCCTAAGGTGACGGAGCTCAGCATTTTTTGCTGTGGACGTAAATCTGTGCAATAGCAAAATACCGCACCGGCATGATTCCCGCGATGCACTGTGAACTTCACAGCCAGTGCTCGGCAATCTCTTCCTCTTGCGCCGGTTGCTGACGCATCAGACTACAGCGCAGGGGTACCCAGATGACATTTTATAAGCGGGCGCAGTGGGAACAGGCGCTTCAGACGATTCTTCACATTTCAAACTCCTAAACTACCAGAGCCACTGCATGCCATGCTAGCGAGATGCGCCTTGGCAGTTCCAAACAAATTATGCCGTCTCTGGGAGCGAGAGTATACTGCCAGTGGCGCCTGGGTGCGAGATAGGCGTGCTCTCATCTATATCAAGGATGCATTATGCCTAAACACAAACAGCTCTCGCTGACCAAAGTGCGGCTGTGGCAAATCAAGAGAGGGCAGCCCAACTGCTTAATTTCCTTCACAAGATTGCACCCTGGACTACAGCGTATGCTATTTAGCTGCAATAGGAATACTAGGGTCTTTTGAGGCAATTTCGTAATCAACCTGATGTTATATATAAAGTTTAAATGTGAAAAGGTGCCATTATGATCCACAAGAAGTATACCGTATTTACTCACGTATTAGGATCACTTTTTCCCTGAAAATCTGGCGCCAAGTTTAGGGTGAGCCAACGACAATCAAACTTTCTTAGGATTCTTTTGAGCACAGCTGCCACACCGTTCTTTTTGCCGATCATCACATTGGCATTGTCGGCAGAAAACGCGATGCAAATCTCAAGCCTTATACCACACGATTTGAGCGCATCCAGAACGATGTTTGCAGTCTTTTGGCCAGTGGCCTCTCCAGAGAGTTCCTGCAAAGGAAGCAGTCGGCCGAAGTGAACAGTGTAGTGATACAGGATCGTCGTGCGACTTTTGCAACGAAATTCGTGTCAAAACTGCTCACGGTGAAGCAAAAGCAACTTCGTGTTGAAGTCTCACAGGACATGCTGGATTTCACAAGCAGTGACTCCAACTTCATGAACACTGTAATCACTGGTGACCAGTCTTGGGTGTACGGGTACAACCCGGAAACCAATGTGCTGCCAAGTGCTTTCTTTGACTTTTGCGCTGTGGTACACCACGAGTACGCACCAAAGGGTCAAACAATCACCAAAGAGTACTACAGGGATGTGCTCCGCCGACGTTTTTGCTAATTTTCGGCCGGTGGCCTCTTCATAGAGTTCCTGCAAACAAAATAGTCAGCTTTCTACGTTTCGTGATTTCTCGATGTAGTAGGTCCCCACAAGTGGGTGCATGTGTGACCCACTGTCGTTTCCGCCCACTACGATTGCGAAAGCACGGAATTTCAGAGCCTCCGCCACTGTCTTTCTGGTATGTGCAGCCATTTCTCCAAAGATTGGCAGTTGTTTTAGTAGGTCTGCACCCGTACCGCTTCGCGTCCTTGCACTTCAAAAACTTTTCCAAAACACCGGCCCTGAGTGATCACTAATGCTTAGCAGCAAGTTTTTTTCCACAAGAAATCCCGTGAATGGGCATTCTGCACGGATCGCACTGCCTTTACAACTCTTGAGAAAAGCTGCTAATGTTGCCTCGCCCTTTCGCAGCACGAACATAGTTCTGATGGTAGGTAGGTAGGTATGTGGGGTTTAACGTCCCAAAACCACTATATGATTATGAGAGACGCCGTAGTGGAGGGCTCCGGAAATTTAGACCACCTGGGGTTCTTTAACGTGCACCCAAATCTGAGCACACGGGCCTACAACATTTCCGCCTCCATCGGAAATGCAGCCGCCGCAGCCGGGATTCGAACCCGCGCTCTGCGGGTGGTTCTGATGGTTCTGTGAAGTGATGTGCACTTTTATATTAGCCTTTCCGCTGAGCAACATGCTTACATCACAGGTGCATGCGGTACAGAATCCGTACTTGTTGCCTTTCTCTGAAGTCACAAAGCATGAACAACTCAGCTGTGAACAGCTGTGCTGTTCACACAGCTGAACAACTCAGCTGTGTGAACTCAGCTGTGAACAAGTCTAGAAACAAATACTTCTTTGATTTTGTCACCGCCATCGACCGTCTAATTGAACTACGGAAACATGCAACTCCCGAACGACAGCACATGGCTCAGTGCGCAAAATGTGGGGGCCACGACGGGGCACAAAGGTTCTGGCTAGGCTCAACAGAAACGATTGCAACAAGTGAACTGAATGATGGCCGGAGCAGCAAGATTTCGACATGCAGCGCTGTTTCTCCCAAGCACGCGGATATCGAGAGTGCAAAGCACATTGTAGGTCGCTTATCGCCGGTTTGTCGGCCACTCTTTCTCTGAAAATGAAATGTGCTCTGCAGTCTCGTTGTCTTGTGATAGGAGTGCTGGTGAACATAGTGTTGTGGCTTCGGCCGCTCTGCACTTTTGGCAATCTTTTTCCGTTGAGAATGCCCCTTTTTCCTTGCTTTCTTTCGGTACGGTGATGAGCACTTCTCGCAGCCAGCCTTCTCCAGGATGCACAGTGCCTAGAATGCACTCAGCGGTACTCTACGATTACAATGAAATGAGTGGCGAGTGCTTTTCCGCAGCACCACCACTGGCGCAAAGAGCAAGACTGACATACGCGCATGACTTTTTTTTTTAAAGAGAGAGAAAGAAAACCACCTCGGCTGTAGTGGCCACTTTTCGGGAAATTCCAGATGACATTCATACAATCGGGAGATTAGGTATAAATTAGGGAGTCTGCCCGAAAATTCGGAAGAGTTGGCAAGTACACTTGGTAATAACAAAATCACCTTTTCAAACATGATTTACACAAAAAGAAAACAAAGAAAAAACTGACAGGCCAGCAAACAAGTTAGTCAGGAGAGGTGCAAGCAGAATATACTTTACCATTTGGTCTGCAATGCTACCCTTCAAATGAAACAAAGTGAACAGAGGTCACTGATACTTACAGAACCTAGCTGTGGAAGTAGTGACGTAAAGGGCTCAAGATCACATTTTGTCCTGTAATGAATCATTTCTGCCTCCAAGCTAATGAATTCTCTTACACTGGGAGACATAGCTGGTCTGCTAGATTCCCTTATCAGAAAGCGAGTAGGTGAAACCACCTGCAAATAAAAATAAATGAGTGTTCCAAAAGGCATTTAAAAAACCAGTACATATTGCAGAACACAAGTTAAAAGAAAACAGTTCTAGCTTATTGTTTATACTCGAACACTCATGGTAAATACTTCTGTGTGATGCAACATCCAGCATGATGGCTCACTGCAGCTGTGATCACTAGTTCCTTCCTCAAATATTTTTTTCAACTGTACAGCAGTTTGCTCACATACAGAAACAATAACCAACATGCCATTATGTTTTCACTCTGGACGTCTTACCTTTAAAACTATGACATTCATTCTTTGCTTCCATTGTTGAGCACTTCTAAATGCTTCGATGGCCATACTGCCTGAAATGAGAACTGCGGGAAAAATAAAAGATTTTTGTCATCAATTCACTCACTATAATCTATAGTGAAGTGTTTATCACAGCTTTCATTAAAGTTTTCAAAGAATGCTGTTGTTATCGGCCACATGCAAAACAGCAATACAATATGTTCAACATATCCTAATATGTTCGACATATCCTAATTGGGAAATGCCTTTGTCAATTTAATCTTGTGTTAGTCCCAGAGAACTGCATAAATGCAACTGTATGTGCCGTTGCATTCCAAACTTTTATTCTATTCATACTGACGATTCTCCTTTTTAAGTGTGATGGGTGAAATGTTCACTGCACTTTTTGGTAGTCATCACCAGTCCTCGACCCTGTCCCACCACATCTTTTAAAATCTGATGAAAAAAAATTCAATATTTGGATGCAATTTTATTCCAAGTATATAATAGAGAGGGCACAGCAAAAGCTCTGAGCTCCCAGAAAATGCCTCACTTCTTTATCTCTCAGACAATGCTGCTGTCAAATTGAGATAAATTTTGCTCTATTCACAAGTTGTTTTTTCCACAATTTCCAATCTTTGTTCTACATTGCTTTATACATGTACTAACAGAAGCTCCCCTTTACTTTTGTTAGCTTTGATCATGCATGTAGGTTGAGTTCCTTTGGTCTCTAATATAGGACAACAGCTAATTCTGAGTGACATTTCAGAAAAAATAAGGTTGACTTGTAACCGAATAAACCTGGTAGGCTGAAAATTGGACCACAACCCATGACAGATGGACTTGCAGACAGTGCATACTTTTTAAATCCTATAAATGTGTGCAATGGCAGTATGAAACCCACATGAAATAGTGTACTACTTGCTATGGAGATTACATGGCAAATCTTGAAGATAGAAAATAAGCTGTGCATGAAGAAGCAAAATGAGCAAAAGCGCCACGTGTTATGCTAAGAAACATTGCGTACATTAGGCTGTGCCCGAAGAGAAACACAGTGAGGTGTTATCGAGTGCGAGGATGAAGAACCCAAGTCACCATGCTTAGGTTCTTCATCCTTGTTTCTCAGAATGGAGGCACCATTCTAGCGACGTTTTGTTCTGTTGCATCATGGAACGCATAGAAAACAGCTCCCCTGGTGTGCATCAATGGCCAATTCCAGTGGGCCGCGGTGCTTTATATCAGCCAATATCGGAAAATCCATATAGCAGGAGGCTAACGAATAGGAGAAATGAATAAATTTTGCCCGCAGTTGAATTGGTTGAGTGAGAATAAGTTAAACTGGCTTTAATGGTGAGAAAGTGACAGCTAATGAGCAGGGGCGGCGCCAGGGGGGGGCAAGGGTGGGCTGGAGCCCCCCCAAAATTCTCGCCTGCCCCCCCTATGCCCACCCAAGTGCCCGGAAGCATATATTGAAAACCTAGTAGGAGCAGAGCTAGCTTGCCTCCCCGGAGGAACTCACTTTTCGTGGTTGCCCCCCCAGTAAAAACATCCTGGCGCCGCCCCTGCTAATGAGCCATGTTCATGAGCCACATGAACATGCAGCAAACACTGCAGCACTCTAAATCCTATTTTATATTAAACAGCTTCCCCAAACAGCTATCACTTAAGCCAGAGGTATCAGAGACACTATGGGGGCAAGGCATGAACACACAAACACAAAAAGGCCATCTACCAATCTGGCAAGGACAAGATATTTAAAGACCATTTAAACATGCTACCAGGCTAATACATGGCTTGCACATGATGTCGCCATTGCCTTATTCCTATTGCTGTGGCCATATTGGTGAACAGCCACACAGACGAGCCGTTCGTACCACACGTACGAACGGCTCGTCTGTGTATAAGGCAGCCGTTAAAAACCGATAAAGCAAGGGTGGCCTTACTGCGAGGAAAAAATGTGGTTGTCCAATGAAGCGGATCCGGACACTGTACACACGACTTCGAACACCACCTTCTCGAAAGCGTCACACAAAAACAATTGGAACTATTTGGTTTTCAGCGCTAACTTTCTTGTTTTGGGCAAAATAAAGGTGTACAAGTCAATGAAATCGCAGAGCTGCTTTACCGGTGGCTGGGTAAAGAGCCAGTCTGAAAAAGAGCTTCGCGACCGTGAATTTGGTCGCGCTTTTAGAAGCTGGCTCAACAGTTCATCTAATTGACCCATTCGCCAGCCCCATGATATCAAATAGCAATGCACGAATGCTGCTAAATCCCGAAATGTCACACCAGGAGTGAGACAAGTTGACAAGCTTTTAGAGCGATTTCTCGGGCAAAAAGAGAAATGTATGCACCGAGTTCTCATGAGAGCGCAGCGAGATGCTCAGGCGGCAGCGCATTTTTTTATCACACGTCCCCTTGACTGTCCATTTTGTCTTATATAAATATAGAGGGATGTATGTGGTACCTGTGTGTTAACAAGTACTGAGGGTTTAGTCCCTGCATGCGGACAGTCATCTAGAGCGAACAGCATTCAGCTTCATCAACACAGATCGGCCTGTGCTTGGCACCGTTTGGCTTTTGCTAGCCACTTTTCGCGACTCATGACTCAACGCTCATGTTGTGCAGCACCTGCGTGCTTGAAGCTGTGGCAGAGTCGCAGAGGTGGTGCCTAGTCTCTGTTCCTCTCACTGAACAATGCGGATGGCTTTCCTATGAACACGAGAGCATCCGCGTTAGCATCTTAATTCATATCTCCTCTCTCTTTCACTTGCCTACTACAAAATGCGCTCCACATACACAAATGTTGGGGTTTGCTTCATTAAATTTAGTGTGTATTATGTGTGCCAGCCAGACACTTCAATGGCTTGCGTTGAGCATTTTTGTGCGGCTGCACCGGCCTTCAATAAAGTTTGGTGTGTGAAAAATACTAGTGGGCTGCTTCTTTCTTTCGCAGCTGTCGCCACGATACCAGCAGTCAACAACTGCGCATATGGCCAAAGTGATGGAAGAAACTTGCCAGCACGTCGACGCAGCGCTACAGGTGGTCTAACCCGCTGTTCACCAATATGGTCAACTCGCTTTACACTGTGACGTCAATTGACTTTGGTGCAAGTGATGTATAGAAGTCTACTACCAGTTAGAAGGTTACCAAATTTCATTACATTTCAAGGAAGATATCAATATATTTGTTGTTCCACGCAACCATTCGTTGTGACATTAACAGGGCACTGTACTGTATTTGTACTATTGAACCTTTGTGCTGCCAGTTGCACTAACTTTACTTAGATTATAGCACGTAGCACTGCATTTTTTGCCGAGCCCAAGACGGCGTGCTGTGTTCTCACTTGCATAAATATTATTTTGATATTTTGCTATTTAGAAAGATATCAACACTGAGCAGGGCGGCTAAACGCAGCTTTCTTGTACAGCAGCCCCCCCCCTCCCCCCCTTTTTTTTACCCTTAACACGTGAGCGTTGCGGGCGTAGCGTTAGCGTTCGTCACTCACAGGCAGCCCGCAAGAGATTGGCGCACGACGCGTGCTCAAGGCAAACGCAAAGTTTTGCGTTGTTCTGAAACTATCAAGTGCCACATACTTCTTCAAGTCCCATCGTCCTGTTGGCGGAAGAGCGTGGCAGAAAACAGCTGCACAGGACTGTTCATCACATGTATTCTCGTTCATTTCGCCGTCCATAGCTATACGGAGCCTATCGACTAGGCGGTCGACGCTCGCGCGTCCGGGTTAAAAAAAATAAGAGGGGGGGGGGGGGGCTGCACAAGAGAGCATCAAGTAAAGGCCACAATTATGCCAAGTATTATGTATATAGCCCGTAAGTACAACACCTTTAAAAGCACAACAGAGTAGCTCCAAATGTTCAGTCGCGATGGTCAACGTGAGCCAGAACAAAACACGTGAAACGCGAACAGTGCGCGCTAGACAGCAATCCCGTATTTGCATGACAACAGCACATGGCTGCGGCTCGCACACAAAGATCAGGTTATAAAACAATTACATACATCCAAGAAAATCAGCTTGTAATGAACGCGTCGCTACCGTCGGTCTAAACAATGGCGACAACAGAAATCGCGCTGTCCCCCATTATTTTGAAAACAATAAAGAACAAAACGGCGACAGTCATGAAACGAGCAAACACTACAAAATAGATATAGGCTTTAAAATATAAAAATACACCGTCAAACAAAGCGCGAATCTGCAATCCATATCATAGTAGCGTTCTGTATTCGCACTCATGCCTGAAACGCTGTCATGCTTTGCAATGCAAAACGAATGAACACGGTCACATGGCTGAGTTTTCGTGCTTCTCAAAACGATTGAAAAAATAAAGCAATTCTCGTACCTTAGTGAACTGTCGTGACGTTAGTATGATGCTGGTGCGCATCACACGTACGCTTTCGCACGATATCTCATTCCAAACACGTGCTCACAACTCGCAAGCTACGCTCGTCTCTGCCCGCGTCCACTAAAACCACGTGACTAAAACCAACCCCTCTTTCCTTCCTCCGTGACAAAACCCAACCCTGCGCCTGCGATGAATGGATGGATGAATGAATGTGGCTGTACCCTTTAGATTGGGTGGCGACTAACGTCACCTAGCCGTAATGCTACCTGGCCCTAATACTACCTGCGCACCTGGCCCTACAGCGCTGCGGCTGCTAGCCAGTGACGTTTTGCAAACAAAAAAATGAGAGCGCTTAATATTGTCCTTAAAAAGTCGCTTCTTGCTGTAAATAATATCGGAAAGAAGTTATAAAAGAGCATTTTAAAAGGCTTGCGACCTAAATATTGCGATTAGGTGAATCCTAGTCTGCATACTAGTATGTCACCAGCCAGCTCAATCCGATGCGCATTGGAGGTTCAAAAGTCAAGCGGCGCATGAGCGAAATCGGTGTTCCTTGGTTTGCGCAGTTGTGGAGTGGTCGTAGTCAAAATTCTTTAGAAAAAAAAAATGGCACGAGACACCTCAAAGACTAAACTTTCAAGGCATCTCCTCGACATGAAGGTAAAAGCGTGGCATTTTTTATGCTTATGTCCCCAGCATATTGTAGCTCGTGTTGACGTTTGTATCACTTTACCCCTTCTTGCAGTTTATGAAAAAAAGCAAGGAAAAGGCACAAAAGGATGAGGAGGATGAAGAACATCGCTCATTATACAACAGCGATGCAGTGGACACTATAATAAAGGAGGGGTACGTTAATACCAACATAGGAAACTCGCGGTAAATCGCAGACTCGCTATCGTAGGTGTATGTTCTAAACAATTTTCAGAGCCTTTAGTGTGCTGTTCAATTTGTTAATGTTTCACTGTTTAATCGCTCACCTGCTACCAGCTATTCACTCATTGTGCTGGGACATGTTATTATGATTATAAAAAAGTGTGAGAGCACTTAACTAGATGTGCAAGGTAGCATATCTTCGTAGTCTCCATCAACAGTCGTCGAGCACATATAGCCGAAGTGAAAGTTTCTACAGCGGGACTTCGTCGGACTTTTAATGTGACCGTTCCCAGCATTGTTTACCTTCTTTACGCTTTTAAAAAAAATTAAATTGCGCTATTATTTCGCGAGGGATATATGTATAACGTATTTAGAAACCGAATCTAGTAATGTTAAAAAACAAATCTAAGCACTTTTCAGAATATTAAACAGTCATTTTAGAAGTTATATAAAATTATGTTCATATCTTTGTGCTCATCGTTTCAGCATTAAAACCACATGGGAGTTATCAGGGACTACTTAGCAGATTCTTTGCATGCACACATATGCGCATAACTTGATACAGAATGCACACAATCATTGTATAGCCATAGAAGTCTGCATCCCCGAGAAATGAAGCCTGCTGCACCATGTAAGGTCTCCCATTCGGGGGAATCAAACTTGTACTGTTGCAGCAAACTTGTCTTTTTTTATGTAGTTGACATATAAAAGCATTTGTGAATGATCCAGAAATATATTTGTGCTTGCTCAAAGCAGCTGTTCAATTCGTCATTTGAAATTTTAAAAATTTTCACACTGCACTTCACAAAAAATGACCTCTTGATCATGCTTGTGTTGCATACTTTTTTTTTTAGGTCACGTTACATTATTCAAGAAAGCTATGCACCTTGCTTAGACCTTGTTCTTCCTAGAATGTCTTTTAAGGGCCGTAATCCTGAAATTGAGGTGAGGTTGTGAAAAATTACATTCTGCTTGCTGCATTCTTACAAACAGACTATCAATTCCTGATGAACTATTAATATTTTAGCGATTGATGCAAGGTGAAAATGAAAAGGAGCTTCCAACATGCAAAATGCCGGGCATTCCAGATGAAGAAATGGCTGAAAGGTGAAACATTGTTCATTCATTGTGCACTTTACCAAATATGCTTTTTTTAATGAACTGTTTGCTTCATCAATATCTACATCTTAATTATATTGCTATACACTTTCACGAAACAAAAAATAACTGTCTGAAGCACTGGCAGATAAAGGAACCATACTGGTCATACTTATGATCATATGTACACATATGTAGCTTGACAGTACTAAGCGCACTTGACCAAATTTTAAGCATTGCTGTCAAGCCTTATCTCCTATTGTGTGGTATCAGCCACAGACAAGATGCAGGCATAAAATGGAAGCTTAAGTTGCATGTTCAAAGAAGGAATGCCTTGAATAAGCATCTTTGAGCCAGTGTTATACTGTGTACACAGGCACGGTGCTGATGCCACTCGCATGCTTGTATGTGTAGGGGTATGGTGTATGTGTATGGTGACATCAAACAAGCTTAGGGCCCTGTGCACTTCAATTTAAATGCACATTAACAAAGTCCTAGTGGTTGTAATTTTTGGAGCCCTTCACTATGGCATCCTTCATAATCATATCATGATTTTGAGACATTAAATCCCAAGAATTATTATGCAACGCAAGGAGCTGAATGACTTTACGCCGTAAGGTGGATTACTCGTCTGAAACACATCGTGCTAGCCTCTATTATGTTCGACAGGCATACGGTATTCAATTTGATGATAATCATTGCCCCTCATCTGCTTTTGGTTCTCGAACCATTTCTCATATTCTGCTCATCCAGGTACTCCACTCTGGTTGGAACAATGGCTAAAAAGTTTGACGAAAGAAAGAAAGCCACCCTGTGTTCTCAAGAAACAACTCACAAGGCAAAAGTGCTAAAGCGCTTTAAGTTTCAGAGGCCATCAGATGATTGAGCGGGCAAGAACATTCCTGGTCGTGCACAAGGACTTTCACCATTGAGCTATGTTGTTATTCTACATTTGTCAGAATCAGTTGACCTTTCGGCCTCATTGCATGAAGATACCACTTTTGTGTTGCATAACTGTATTCTTTGGTCTGCTTTTGTTATAACCATCACTAATCGAAGGAAGGAGACACAGTTGAAGGTGTGTGTGTGTATTGTGAAAAGAGAAAGGGGGCAATGTCTTAATTAGTGATATCTGCTTGCATGCTTACGATCATTAAAGAAATCATGAAGAAAAAATGAAGCTGCTTGGTTGTAATTTTCCCAGCTTCGATGAGGATTATACATGCCAATTCTGAAATATTTTGGCCTAATATCCAATCCATATTTTTATGCCTGTTTGAAATAGCAGTTTTCTTGGGCTCCTAAACGACCATGTGGCACCACCATAGGCACTAACATGTGATGTCAGTTGGACGACATGCATATAGAAGCTTTCTTTTGCTCTGAAATAATGGTTCATAGGGACATAGGAAGGAAAAAAATAACACTGCACTTTTTACGTTTTGAGTCGTATACTGTGCGAGTACAGCAAGTGGTCTGCTTCGTTCAGGTACACCCGGGCTCTGCCACGTGTTGCCTTCTCTTGCTCGGTGCAGCGTGGCAGTTTTTTTTCTTCTTACTGGTAGTGTTGGGTTGTTTTTCATGCCGTGTTTTGGGTGGGTTAGTCCTCGCTGTGCCTACTGTGTGCATTGTCAGACAGTGCCACTCAACTTATCAAAGTGGAAACAACGTTTGTGACCTCTTTACAGCACCGTAGGTGAGACGGCATGATGATTTGAACCTCAGTCAACTGTGGCTCGGCAAACATTGCTGCGTTGCCATGTTTTGTAGATGGCAAACTTTTCATTTGGTGAGTTAAAGTGACGTGAGCTGTACAGTTGAGGGGAACATGAGCCGGGGAATCAAAATTGTGCTTTTATAGCTATTGACAAACCCGGACAATGAAACTACAATTTATAACTACCGCTTATAACGTAAGTCACGGGAGTCGGGAATATTCGCACTATAAGCGGTACCGCCCTATAACCAAAACAACCTTTTTCAAGGGCCGCACTTGCGCAAAACGTGTTGAGCATGCAGTTTCGCGTGTGCGAGAATTAAAACAAGCGATGCGTGCTTGCTAACATTTAAATTTCTTAATGTGAAAAGAATTTAACGTCCAAGGACACGCGTTGCCAATGAAACGAAAGGGGGAGGGCGGGTGTCTAACAAACGAAAGAATCATCGCGGAAATTCGCCAACTACCAGACCGCCTCGATTATGCACATTACACAGAAACTATGTCGAATCGCATCCAGAATTTGACGCCTGGAAAGGCACCAACCGTTCGATTTCATGAACGCGCACCCGACTTAAGACATCGCATGGCGAGCCACTATTTGAGTGCTACATGTGCCGCCATCGTTTTCATTTATGACATGCACCTTTCCCGTCAAGTGTGGCCACCGCAAAGAATTTCATTGATTTGGTACCTAACTGCAACTAGATTCACGCGACCACTGCCGATCGAAGCGAAGCCAATGCCGATTAGGTCTAGCTTGCCGTTTGGTATGTTGTTGCGGGAAGTTTATCCAAAACATGAAGATTCAGCGTGAAAAAGATGGCACTAGCAGTGAACCAAAATCAGCGTGCGTGATACGAAAATCGTGTTCGCGGAAAGGAGACCAGCAACGACAACTCTCCAAGCTTACAGGGGTAGTGCCACCAAATTTCGAGGCTACCCCAAGCCTTTTGTGGGTTTCCTCTGTATGTAAGGACTCTCCACACGAAGGGCCGGACACTACAAATGCGTAAAATATATTGTAATTTACTACTAAAAGTGTACCTGAATGCTCACTCTTGCAATCTAGACCGATCGCTTGCGCAGAAACACTGACGTTTCAGAATAGGAGAAGCAACGGCAGTTGTCGTGATGTCACACCAGTTTTGTAGTGATGTGAATGACCTCCGCCATCTCCGAAATGACGCTGCTGTTACGAGCGTGATAGCGTCCCTTGCAGATAGACTGGGCGCGGCGCTCGAGGACACTGGGTGCTTTCGAAGAGACACTCTACGCTTCCTTTAAGGACAACGAAGGCATCCGTCAGAGACGCTGTGCGCGTCCATCAGCGGGGCTGCCCCCTCCTCCTTCTGGCTGCCTTTTGCCTTGCCAGTGCCTGGATGCTGCTGCAAGTGGCCACAACGACTGTCAGTGTGTTTCTTTTGCTGGTGCTTGTGTGGCACGTCTGTGAGAGCAGACGAAACTCGGCACGATGTACGTCACAAGCTTGTGTGGTCACGTGACCAAGCCACCAATGCATCGACGTCACTGCCCAACTCAGCGCCGCGAAACCGAAAATGGTCTACATAAGTAGAGCACTATTAAATTATTTGGCGAAAATACACGAATCTTGGTGCGTGTATCATGCTTCCTGGAGCCGAAGGAAACGCTTACAGCAAAGAACACGCATGCCACAAATTTGGTGGCACCACCCCTTTACAAAAGACAGTGCACTGGCAGCAAAGGGGAAAACTCGCGTCATAAAACCGTTATAAGTTTTCAATTTACGGACGAGAAAGCGAACGCGATATTTGTTGCAAGCTCGATAACGATGTCTCTTCTGACCTGAAACTGTTAGGCGCATCGCACATGGAATTGGTCAGGACAAGATCGCACGCGCCACGTTGAGCGGCGCGCGGCCGAAGCCTCGCTAGCAACGTAGTACACTGTAGCCGCGTCGGCGCTTGTGCAAAGGCTTATCGGTCACTGAGGCAATCGTCCTCTTCCCTTACTCGGCGAGCTGGCACAGTGTCCCACGGTCTTATTTCATTTTCCTTTTCTTCCCTCCGCCCTTCGTTCGTTCACCCGATCTCCCCTCCTCCTCCATAACGACCTCGTCGTTCGCTCCCCAGCGGTTCATCCAGCGCGCCTCCTTCCAGAAGTGAACTTGCTACCGTGTTTGTCACAAACTATTTTTGGCAACCGCATTATCACCGGTCTTTCATCTTGGTGGCTTGCACAATAAGCGGTATGCGTATACATGGGGTTCTACGGGAGGGAAAACAGGAGTGTAAAAAGACCGCATTGTAAGCGGTTCTGCACTATAAGCGATTACGTTATAAGTGGTCTATACTGTAGTTGAGGTATACTACTGAATAAATGGCCAGGATTCTGAATTCACACGCAGTTAATAAGTTTCAAAAAACGTTTTATGACTCCTTGAGTATAATAAAATAATTTGTATCTCAGTGAGCATTTTGACTTTCTTTTGATTATTTCTCATCCATCTCTCCCTCTTGTGAAACAAGAAACACTGCTATGTTGGTCTTGATGTTAATATTTTCTGAGGCATGCGTAGATACATATTTGAAGGATGTGGTGGCAAAAATGTCCCCACGGAAGACAAAGATGTCCCGAAATTTCGTATGGTGTTTTTTTTTTTTTTTTTCAGTGTAACCCAGTCAGTAGTTGGAGGGAGGATGAAATTGACACATCATATTGTGGTTGTCTTGTTTCAAGTAATCTAATGTTCCTGCTTTGCATCATTGCAGTGCTGAATCTGCGCTGGTTGTATAGTACAGTAAAAAAAATTTTTTGAATCACATACAAGCAAGCCCGAATATCCACACTGAAGGGTGCACCCCCCTCTTTTCTCTCACCTCCCCATAGCAAGCATTGTAAAAAAATGCATAAGCATAAGTTCCCCGACACACCCAATAAAGGGACCCGCTCGTCTTAGGTGACCCTACCAGTGAAAAACTTTTGGCACTACCCCTGCAACACTGATCGATTTGATTTCTATAACATCCATGTAAACTATGCCTTTTGTAGGAACAAACATAACCACAATAATTTCAGGTGGTAACACAATGTTCAATCAAAAAAAAAATCTGCAGTCCCCCCACTATGACATGTCTCATAATGAAATCATGGCTTTTGCCTGTAAAACCCTGAATACTTTCTATAATTTTTTTTCAATGAGGGATACCAAAATATACATTTAAAGCCTTGTATCATATTTTAGAAAGCCTATAATTTACGTAAATGTTCTTTGTACTTAAGCAGAATTGTGTGTTGTCATTTAGAATCCAAAGGAAAACATTTTGACAACGTTCAGTATAAATTTGTGCTGCAGGATCTGCCTCATATAACTTTTGTTCTGATATCATGCTGGCTTTGATGGCCAAGCTCACCAGTTTTGGTTTTGTCCTTAAGAAGTGTTGTAACATCCACAGTGGCTGGGGTTCTTTAATCTACATCAGTTTCTTTAACTGCAATTGCAGTCATGTCTATGTAATGAGCACGGGTTATTAGAAAATATTCCATGCACAGTGTCAGCCCTCATCATGCACATTGAATGTGCTTAGGTGTTTGACAGTTTTCCGAATATTTAAAATTGTACTTGCCTTGTCGCTTACAAATTGTGCCTCTCAAAGATTTTTTTTTAATGCTGGTCAGTAAAATATTCCAGAAGATATGAGTTTTGAAGAAGGTTAGGTGCTGTCTTTTTACTTTACTGTGTCTTCTTTTTTCCACCGTAAAGGTGCAGACACTAATAAAATGAAGAACTGGGGATGTTAGCTTGAATAATAGCCTGGAAGGCTACTTTAAATATTCAGTAAAAGGATGAGCTTGTGCATGCAGTGAACATGCAAGAGTACAGTGCAGAAAATATCCTGGATAACCTTGCACAGAAATATGTACTGCTAGGCAAATCACATGAATGCTTATCCAGCACGGGCGCCTTTCATTAGCAACAAATTTTGCTTGCTGCATGTACCAAATTCTTTTAGTATATCTATACATAGAAAACAAAATTTTACTTTCATGTGCTTCCACAGTGATATTTTTGTTTCATGCAGTAATTCTTTACATTACTCATTTTAAATAATTGATGTATGTGTATTTAAAACTTCTAACAGCCATCACAAGAGGCTTTGTGAAAGCTCCCAGGAACTCTTTTAGTCAAGACATGTAAATTTCCTGTAGCCACATACATGATATTTTTAATGTGACAGTGTTAAAGGGCCAGTAAAAAACCCCAAGGTCCGATAATTGTTATTTATTTATTTATTTACAACATACTGCAGGCCCACATGGGCCCAGGCGGGAGGGTTAAATTGCAAAACAAAAACACAGCCTTTGAAAAGGCAAAAAAACAAACAAAATAAACGCTTACATTTCAATTTCAATGTTAGGTTATGAGAAATCGATCAGGTCAATTGACTCAACAGAATCAATCAATGATAATGGCAGTGAGTTCCATTCGTTAATAGTGCGAGAAAAAAAAGAAAATTTGAAGGTGTTAGTTCTTGTATGATATGGAGTTAATATTGAGGATGATGATGTCTGGTTAGTCTAGTTGATAACGGGCGTAGATATGGTCCAGGATGAAAAGAGAGTTTGTTATCCTTCAGAAGAAAAAGAAATTTGAGCCTGAGTATTTTTTGTCTTAATTTCAATGTTTGTATTTCATGAGCGCTGTTGGCGAATCGGTGGAATGGAATTTAGAAAAAATAAATCTAACAGCTTTGCGCTGAACCATTTCAAGTGCGTTAGTATTGTGGTTGGTGTGAGGATCCGAGACGGTGCAAGCGTATTCTAACTTAGGCCTGATTAGCGATGTATATGCATGAAGCTTGGTTTCAGGGGGCGCCTGTTTAAGTTTGTGTCGCAGAATACAAAGCTTGCGAAAAGAAGCACAAATGTTAGCGATATGAGAATTCCAACTGAGGTTGTTAGTAATGGTCACCCCCAAATATTTGTATTCATTTACCTGAACTGGCGGATTAGATGCAAGACTGTAAGAAAACTGCCGTTTATGTATTTTCTTTGTTATATGCATGTATACTGTTTTTGTTTCATTAAGCTTCATGTCCCATTGTTTGCACCATGAATGAACGTTATGGAGGTTAGTATTCAAAAGTTCCTGATCTTCTCGACAATCAACCTGGTGATACAATATGCAGTCATCTGCAAGTAAGCGAACTTGAACTGGCTCAGTTATAACATTAACGGTGTCATTAATAAAAATCAGGAACAGGAGCGGTCCCAGTACACTACCTTGTGGTACCCCCGAAGTAACTGGCAAACTACGTGAGCGGTAACCATCAATAGAAACGGATTGGGTGCGATTGCTTAAGTAGGCGGAAATCCAATTAATGATAAAAGAGGGGAGGCTAATGTATTTTAGTTTGCAAAGTAACTTTTCATGTGAAACAAGGTCAAATGCTTTCTGATAATCCAAAAAAATTACGTCAGTTTGACTAGGTTTGTCAAGGACACTTGCAAAACTGTGAATTACAGTGGATAGTTGTGTGACTGTAGAAAAACCCTTCCTGAATCCATGCTGAGATGAAGAAAGAATGTTGTCTGTTAAAAATTTAATTATGTAATTTGCAACAATATATTCAACAATCTTACAGCAGGAAGAAGTGAGCGATATCGGACGATAGTTTGTAATCAGTGCAATGTCCCCTCCCCTTTCTTGTGTACGGGCACCACACGCGCCGTTCGCCAGTCAATCGGTAGATCTGAAGATGACAAAGACGCACGGAAAATGTATGCGAGGAACGGGGCGAGTGCTTCTGAATATCGACGAAGGAATGCATT